TGTGTTCATATGTCTGAACTATATTTTTAATATAAATTATATTCATAATTATGTCAATATTATTAACACTTTATATTTATATGAAATATTGATTATTGAGTATTGAGACGAAACCGACTAATATGTAGTTCACATGTGATCATGGATTTCATGACAATCTCATAGAAATGATATGATGGAGAAAATACATCTTGGACAAATTAAGTAAAACTTTTGAATAAAATAGACTACAATATTAAATAATGATAGTGCAGGTTTTATTTTAATGAAGTATTATGTATGGACTGCACGTGTCTTATTAAATGTATGAATTGATTATAGTCTAAATTGTAATATAATATATAATATATAATTAGGAATGAAATAATAATGTAATTAAAAGTGGGTATTATAAATGGTGGCTATGTGTATGACTGTGATTAATACAAAACTGATTCACTATTTTGATCAGTTTTTGATTTTCAATATTTTAATCCTTGATAATAATTTCAGACGAGAATTCAATTGATAAAACACTCAAACCTTTATTAATCGATGAAAAAATATATTATGAATAATACAATTTCCTGAGTAATCAACAAATTTAAAGAAAATTGTAATAAATAGTCACAATTTTATCAAATGAGTATTTATATAAACAAATATTCATATAAAATTATTATAAAGAATTAATATTTTTGAAAACCAAAAACTGATTAAATGAATGAATGTGTTTTGTATGAATCTCATAGATACACTTAGCCCACTTTTAAAAACCCACTTTTATCCATTTTTCTTGCATTCCTATATATAATATGAGCTGGGGACAATCATAGTAACGTTAGATATTTTTATTAATACTTTAAAATCCAGTAATATTTGAGCCTGATAAGTCATAGTACTACTCGTTTAGCTTAAACCTATGTATATTTTATGAATAATTGACTTGGATAAAATTAATAATTAGATATAATAAATATAAAATAGCTAACGTTACTATGATTGTCCCCAGCTCATATATATTATAACGTTATAATTTGAGATAATAAATGACCTGGTCAACATTTTTAATATAAAAATTATTGTAAATACAAATATTATTAATGTAAAATACCATTTTTAAAAGTCTTATTATTGATAAACAAAAAACAACTTCAATACAAATATTGTAATTACGATTAAAATTATGAAATATAAAATTAAAAATAAACTGTAAATAATTAAAATAAAAATAAAATTTGTATATACATATTATATTGTATTTTAATTAAATCTTAATGTTTTTAAAAACTTTTAAAAAATTCTTAAAATAATTAATATGTTTAATGATTACTAGTTATTTGATATCTGCTTTTAAAACTACTGTAATAATACATGAACCTAGAACAATTTAATATATCAACATATTAATTTGATTTTGCAGAGACATTTGCGAGAACTTTATTTAATTAGATAACTGTTACCGGAATTAAAACGAAATTATTTATATCACATTGAAATGCCCTGTTAATAGTTGTCTATTTATTTACTTATGTGGCCAATAACTATAATTAATTCCCGGCAACTGCTATAATATGCCGTACGAGTCATTCATAGCTATTTTATTTGCCATTCACTGCAATCCAATCACAGAATCTTTTATTATTTTTTGAACGACTAGAGAGAAAAAGTAAAAAATAGCACATTATGTGAGCTATAAGTGTGACATTATGTGAATTAAACTTTTATGATTGCTACTGTACAGCAACATACAGTGCAGTATCCCTTTAGATTGGACTCATCAAGAATATTCTGCATATAAGTATAGCAAAACATTTATTAAACATTTATCGTTAAATCTGTGATAAGATTTAATACAGTATTTCGCAAAAGTCTAGTAATTATTCACCAGAATATGATTAATATGTTCACAAAGTTTTTGTTTTTAAACTGAATCCTCAGATTTCAATGACGTCTAAATGTATGAACAAAAATAAAATTGAAATAAAATATAGGTTATTTGTTTTTTATTTGTTTTTTATTTGGTCTCCAAATGCATGTAAATGAAATTGAAATAGTTGAAATATTATACTCTAAAATAAATCATCAATTTTATTAAATTTCCATAAAATGTGCCTGTACCGATAGTTTATACAGGCTTTATATACTGTCGAAGCTCTGAGTTGTGTATGACCTAATGCAGACCAAATCTGTACACAATAGGGAATGTTCACAACAGGGAATGTCAACATCAAAAAAGAATATTGCCCACTTTACCAATATCTGGCAATCGGGGGTTTGAATATTGAATATTATCTTTCAATTAATCAAAAATTCTAGTATTCATGTCATTCAATTTCAAAAATCTCATTCATATTATCTGTGACATTTTTGTTAATTTTAACAATTTTATCTAAATTTTTCTTAGTAAATAATTGAACTTGTTAAATCGAATTAGTAGAAAATTTACATCAAATTACTTCGATATAATAAATAAAAATCTTATATACAATACAATTTCTCATTAATAGTAATAGATAATTGATTAAGATACTAATTAATAATTTGTAATATAATATTCATTCATCAAAACCAGATAGCCATCTTAGGATACATTTTACAATAATTTACTAATCCCTTTATTTTGTGAAAAACTAGATTTCAATATTAGAATAATAGTAGTTAATAATTTATATATTGTCGCTTATGCTCTTTAAAAATTGAAAATAATTAAAATTTTGCTATTATTTTGTGACATTTTACACAACTCAGAGCGGAAAATTACACTAAATATTGCTAAATGTGTCCACAGCATAGAGAAATACACAACAGAGAAGTTGACAACAGGGAATGTTTTTAACTCACTGATGGGCAATTAGTCATTTCAATGTAGAAAAAAAGGTTTCGATATTTCCAGAAATTGTTGACAGTATTTCGGGATTATAGGGAATTCCGGGAATAGTATAATTAAATATATTTTAGTTAAACATAGTTCCTGGAATATTGTCAAAAAATATTGGATTTATCGATTCCTTATTTTCTACATTGAAATGACTAATTGACCATCAGTGCTTTATAATAATAGTAGTTAATAATTTATATATTGTCGCTTATGCTCTTTAAAAATTGAAAATAATTTAAAATTTTGCTATTATTTTGTGACATTTTACACAACTCAGAGCGGAAAATTACACTAAATATTGCTAAATGTGTCCACAGCATAGAGAAATACACAACAGAGAAGTTGACAACAGGGAATGTTTTTAACATTACAGGTATAGGGAATCCGCCAAAAAATCAGGATTAGTTCACACCATAGAGCGATACACAACATAGAGATTGACAACTCAGAGCTTCGACAGTAATAGGTGCTTATCTCAAGGATAAAAAAAGTTTGCACCTAAACTCGCTTATAAATTACAAAGCTTTAAAAATTTTCTTTAATTTCATTTAATCTTTCTATAACGATCATTGTAATGATACTATAATTACAGTATTATTCAAAGTAAAAATAAGTTAATGATAATTTAACGACTTGACTGGTAAATTAAAGCTTTAAAAATTTTCTTTAATTTCATTTAATCTTTCTATAACGATCATTGTAATGATACTATAATTACAGTATTATTCAAAGTAAAAATAAGTTAATGATAATTTAACGACTTGACTGGTAAATGACAAATACTGTATAATATATCAAGCACTTTGTTCACTTATTATTGTTTTAAGTTTTCGCTCACTTATTGGAAACCTTAAAAATTTTTATATCAAATAATATTAAGTTATTGAATTAAAACTGATTTAAAAATGAATGACAAAATAGCAATCGCTTGGATTGACTTGACATATAGTGTAAGAAATATCTTCACTTCAAACAAAATTATATTAAATGGAGTGAAGGGTGCCGTCAGTTTCGGGACTCTAACAGCTCTGATGGGACCGTCCGGTGCGGGAAAGACAACACTTTTGAAGTGCATTAACGGCAAGAAGAAGACCGGATTGAGTGCCGACACAAAAATATAGGAATTGAGGCTACACCTCTAGGCCTGCACAGAATAGCCCGTTGCTCTCTTCCTTGTGGATTAATACCCTTACTGTCGGTTTGTTTTGAATTACATACGGAGTTTTGACTTTTTGTCACGGTAATTAGCCGATATCAATCACGAGAAAAATGCTTTGAGTTTGTTATCCGAGCTAATGATGAGTGATATCCGCGACACCCGAGTGGATGAGTGCAGTGGTGGCCAACAAAAGCGACTGTCCATCGCTATAGAGCTGACACAATATGTCAAACCAAATCTGTTGTGTATCGATGAGCCGACCACTGGACTCGACAGCAATGCCGCCGAAAATGTATTCAATTTCTTATTTCTTTGATACTAATTACGAATAATAATAATAAACTGTTTGCCACTAATTATTAGGTAATGAAATGTCTGAAACAGTTAAGTGAATCTCATGGCATAGCAGTCATAACATCCATACATCAGCCAAACAACGACATACTGATGCTCTTCGACCAGATCTATGTGTTGGCCAAAGGAGGCGTTTGTGTCTATTCGGGTGCCCCTCAGGAGTTGGGCCATCACTTGAATAAATGTGGCATCAGTTGTAAATCTCATCAAAAGCCAATTGATATGCTGATGAAAGTGACGTCTAATACTATTGAAGATCAAACTGTGCGACAATTAGTGAAGCAGACCTCTCGTGACACCGAATGGTTGGACGAAAAGTGTGAAAATGAGACCAAATTGTCTCCAAATGGGATCCAATTTAAAGCGAAAACTTTTATCATTAAAGACATTTGGTATCTAATGACTCGTATGATGACAAACGACTACATTTGCAAATGGAAACAATTATTGGCTGAACTCATGTTCTTCATACTGTTCCCTATACTGTTGGCCACATACAAATCGGGTCTCTACTCACTTAGCCTGCCCACAGAGTTAAGTGCTAAGAAATTGGCCTGCACATCATTTTATGACCTACTCCTCAACGATGACCTGCTGTCGTGGTTTATGCCCAAGCAATAGATAGGTATGGCCACATTTATCAGGGTTACCATTACTACCATCACATTCACGGCAAACGCCAACACATTTCTTAATGAACACCAAAACAGTAAGAATTATTTAAATCAAATGACAATATAGTAATCATAAAACCTTAAATCATAAAATTAATTCATAATAATTGGTGACCAGGGTGGTACAGCACAGGAGTCTTCTATATTGCACAGACTATAGTGGATTTAATACCGACTCTAATAGAGGCGACAGTCTGTGCCCTATTGTCCTTCTATATGAACGGACCATTCAATGAAACGGATCGTCTAATGAGTTATGTGCAGACATTCATATTGGGTATGATATCAGCGCAAAGTCTGGGATATGTTTCCGGAGCTATGTTTGTCAGACGCGAAGTACTGGCGATGGAGGTGTCGATCGTATTATTCATGGTTAACATTATGTTCAGCAATGCATTCATGAGAATCGATGACTTACCCCAATGGCTGCAACCACTGGGTTTCACTTCATTTATTAATTATTCAAATAATTTACTCCTTATTATAACATATGGATTGAAGCGATGCCTTTCCGGCCAGTCGTCATATGTTATGAAGAAATTCCGGTTAAACGACACGATGTTTGAAAGTTATCCTATCTATCAACTCATATATGGTTTAGTACTCAGAGCTCTAACAGCAATTATACTTTACTTTAAAGCAAATACCTTGGTGATAAAGATTAAATCAAAAGTACTGAAGTCGAATCGAAGTAATCAAATCGAAATTACTAATTTCAATAACAACGGAAAGTATACAAGAAGACAATCAATAGTGATAGATATGATTACGATTACTTCGAGTAAGTCGCGTATAGATTACAATAATGAATCTACAAAAGTCTCGACTGATGACCAGAATATCAAAAGTAGGCAGAGATTTGAAGCAATTAAGGACCAGAAAAATGGTTTCTTAAGAAACAAACTGTGCATCGCATGGACTGATCTGACACTTAAGGTATCTGGTAATTGGTTTACGGATGAGAAAGTTATCCTCAATGGTATTAACGGATACTTTGAATTCGGATCACTTAATGCACTGATGGGTCCGTCCGGTGCGGGAAAGACAACTCTATTGAAGTGCATTTTCGGCCGAAATCGGGCTAAACTGTCAGATGAGACGCGAATATATTTAAGTAAATCCAAGCGAATCCGGACCTGTTTTGTGAGTCAAGACGTTAGCGAACATCTTCTCAATGGTCTGACAGCAAAGGAGGCACTAATTTATGCCTCAAAACTCAAGAATACTTACGACGATATCGACCATGAATTACATGTCACTAAACTGATGAATGATCTGCTAATCAGTGACATCGCAGACAACTATTGCGAAGACTGTAGTGGAGGGCAACAGAAGCGATTGGTTTTGGCCATGGAGTTGACGGCAAATATAATGCCTAATCTTATTTGCATTGATGAGCCGACCAGTGGTCTCGACAGCAACTCATCCGAAGTGGTCTGACATTAAAAGTATGTTTTAATATGAATTAAATATTGTTTGTGTGATTACAGGTCATTGAATGTTTGAAGTATATAAGCCGAAAGCACAACATAGCGATTGTAACGTCCATACATCAGCCAAACTCTGATATACTGGTGCTCTTTGACAAGTTGTATGTGTTATGCAAAGGAGGCAAATGTGTATATTCTGGTCGACCTCAGGATCTGGAAACGCATCTGAATGGATGTGGTATTACTGTCAATGAATATCAAGTTGCGATCGAAGTTATCATAAAATTGTCTTCAAATGACTATTTATGTGACGAACAAGTGATGAGACTTTTGGACAAAACGAGTCAACAGAAAGAGACAATCGCTGTGCGCTGTAAGGATGAGACCAATTACTATCCCAAAGGAATTAATAAGATTAGCAAACGATTTAATTTCATTGACTTCCGCACACTCGTGTCGAGGACCTGGCTATACATCAGTCGTTTCTATTGGAAGATTCTGTTAGTAGAGTTAGCATTCGTCACATTCATCGCCGTTTGTTTGAAACTCAATCAAATGCCGCAAATGATTGAAGGGAACGGTTGTATCAGTTTTGACGATGACTTCGCCAATCAGTGCAACAAAACTGATGCCAAACTGGAGGAGGAGAGACTTCAGACACAGAATATTATCTATCATTTACTGATTTTCATTTTCTTTAGTTTGTTTGAAATAGTTTTGTCAACACTTAAGTTCATACTTGAATTAAAGACATTTCTTAATGAACAGAGAAATGGTTTGTATGTTAAATGGTCTCTCTATCAAGTATTTCATGTAACTGTTTGTCTAATTGATAGGCTGGTACAGCACCGGTACTTATTATTGGACTAAGACATTGGCTGATTTAGCCCCGACACTTATCATTGTCACAATTTACGCCTATTTGACCGAAGCCTATAATAACGATCAGTTATTACCACTGGTAGTCATATTGACCATCGTGTCAATAGTATTACAAAGTACGGGACACCTAATAGCCGTCCTATTCAGCGGTACTCCAACTCTGGCCGCACTCATAGCCTGTTATTGCTTTGTGGCTCAACTCCTGTTCTCAAACTTTTTTATATTCACGAAGAATCTTCACTATTCACTGCAATTAGTGAGCAATTTATCGGTCATGAAATTGGCGTTTGAGTCGACCGTCGTCTGGATCTATGGTTTCGATGTCTGCACTGACAGAGAGTTCTCGTCTCCGCTCTACTTAATCTTCACTATTCACTGCAATTAGTGAGCAATTTATCGGTCATGAAATTGGCGTTTGAGTCGACCGTCGTCTGGATCTATGGTTTCGATGTCTGCACTGACAGAGAGTTCTCGTCTCCGCTCTACTTCTTTGATATCAATGACAACACTTTCTATCAAAACCTTCAGATCCTAATCGTTGAGATAATTTTGTTGCGATTTTTAACACTCATTGCTATGTCTGCACTGACAGAGAGTTCTCGTCTCCGCTCTACTTCTTTGATATCAATGACAACACTTTCTATCAAAACCTTCAGATCCTAATCGTTGAGATAATTTTGTTGCGATTTTTAACACTCATTGCGTTTATTGTTAAGACTAATGGAGTGACAAAAGACAAGAACCACGAGAAGACAATGAAGTCGCTGTTCATAACGTATAGACCAAAACGATTGAGACTAATACAGTAGTGGGAATGACCTAAAAATTACATAGCTTACTTTAACCGTATGTGAGACACAAATGAATGTTTTATTGGTAACTAATGTCCAAATAATGGCAAATAATGTCTACAATTTAAATGAAATAATTTTATTTATACATTTTATATTTAATTGAAATTAATAATTAAAATATTTAAATTAATTTTAAACACATTTCGAAAATGTTTTGAACATTGGGTCCAAATATAAAGTCAGTTTAAAAACATTGCAATCAATTCAAAAAACAGTGTTTGAGTTTACGATTCAAAACATCGGATGAATAAACAAAAAATAAGTTTTGCTTTAACTTAAAGCACAGACAATGTACTGAAAAATACAATGATGATTTTACTTTTAAAAAATGGTCACAACTTTTGGGTGTTAATGAACAAAGGCTTCGCTAGGAATGGCATTCTGGGCCTTAAGGCCCATATAGACTTCAAACGCCTTATCGATATTAAAGCCGTTTTCTTCGAGACATTGTGTGGCAAACGAACGGTTCATATGAGTCAACGCCATAAACCTCTGGA